TTAATTAATAATAATAATAATAAAAAACGACCTTGAATGGGTTCTCATCTGTCTCTAATGGAGCAGTGGGAAGGTCCATGCAGGAACGGTGGGAACAGTCACGTGATGAATGAGATGAGTTCATCCCAACAAAAGAAACAGGACTAGAAAACTCAATTTTGCGACGATCTAAAAAAGGGGGCAGGTATAGTTTTCATATCCCCCTCCCTTGGGGCAGAGGGCTTGGGTGGGGTGGGACTTCAGAGATCTTCTGCTCACTGGGAAGCAGGTGGGGTACATCTTCAGAGTTTCTCTGGGGATGGGACCCAGATGTAGTGCCCGGACTGGTCCTCAATGATCTGTTTGATTTTGCTGTAAATCTCTTCAAGAGAGTCTCCTTGTACGATGGCTGGAAGAGGAGAGAACAAGCAAGACCCTGAGCATCACACCACAAGCTACGGGAAAGGCCCTCACTCTGCACCAACGGAGCCAGCGTGGTGCGGCCAACAATTAATGAGACAACTCGTGTCAAAGGAGCGGTAACAGGCGCACGATGACACCAAGGGTTAACCCAGCATGTCCAAGGGGATTAGCGAGAGCTGATCCCGCACTGGCAGAGCTCCCTGCGCATGTCAAGTGTGCTGGTTGGGTTCTCCACAACAGGCTGCTAATCAGCTTTGCAAACTGCGTCTCACCACCGCGCTGAGGCTGCGGGCAGCTGGCCCTGGCCCTGCGGCCACCCTGCCGTGGTCAACGGGAGGGCCTGACATTGTACCCCGAGGTGCTGGACTTCTCCATCCCCTCTGGTCAGCTGCTGAGGGCTCCTCATGTCTGTTGCCTCCTCTGCTGTGGGGTGGGGACTGCGGCACTGTCAGGCTGGAAAAGGGCAGCTTACGGCTGCTGCTCCCAGCAGTAACTCTCGCCCAAAGACCAGCAACAGTCTTGCTGCTTAGTGCTTACACTTCACTGTGCTTCCTACATCAAAGGAGGAAGATGCACATGGAGGGCCAAAGCTTTCTGGTAATTCAGCCAGAACCATCCTCCAGCATCTCTGTTCCCTCATTACCAGTTCCTGGCACAGATCTTGCTACAGTGACCATCTCTTTGCCCATTACCCACTTCTTTCAACAAGAGGTTTCAACCAACAGCATTCCATCCCCACATCAACTTCAAACTCACGATGCCATGCTATGGGTCTGGCAAAACCACGGCACATGCTTCCTTTGTGCTCTTCCTGGAAGAGTGGCCAGCAGCTCTGGAAGTGCTGGCCCAGGACAGGAGGTCTGGGGAAAGCTTTGACCCTGTTTGTACCCCTGCACTTGCTCAGCTGAGATCCATTTTTGGAAAATGCTCTGCTTGGGATTTCTCCCGGTAGCTGTTAGGTGGGTAATACAGCGTTTGGCAGGATTATCACTCCTCAACTTTAGAAGAAACAGTTACTGCACTGGAAGAAAGATGGATGACCAGTTTCTCTGCCTCTGGCTGCCCACAATTTTCCAGAATTAATCACGTTACAAACACTGGTTCCTTAATGCACAAGGATGCCTGTGTCATGAGCAGCTCATCTCTGCAGGCACAAAGCGTCAGGCAGCCCCTGACTGGCTCTCCAGCAAAGACGACTTAGGAAGCCAGCCAAACTTCCAGTCTGTTTATGGGAGATGTTTTGTAATAACTCAGGACAGTCTCCACCATTTAGGTCACTAATTTTTTATCTTTCCTCTTTAAAACAACTCTTTTCTCTCTTTGAAAACGCTCCCCTTTCTCCCATGTAGGGTGTTTTATTCCCTGGAGCTTTGTAGTGCCCTAAATCTATGCTGCACTTCCCTTGCCTGGGGATTTTTTTTTTCCTTTTTTAATTATTATTAAAGTTGGTGATAAGCTTTCCCAATCTCAGAAAATCCTGCCTGACAACTTGTCTCCTTCTCTAGAGCTGGCTTACTCTTATCCACTGATCTTGGAGCAGTCTCTTTGCAGAGTCCTGCTGGCAAAGTAACATTTCTTTTTTGCTTTGATGAAGCTGGACATTTTCCCATGACCCTGCAGGAAGACAGTGCTGGTAGAGAGGTCACAGCTGCCAGCTGGAAAAATACAATAAATCAGATACAAGCCTGCTCAGGACACTCACCTGTAAAATACTCTCCAAACTCTTGCTCGAGTTTCATGGCTTTGTCAAAGACCTTGTTGGCCTGTTCATACGTCTGTCTCCGGTTCATCTCCCTGCCACGTACAAAGAAACAGAAACTTGGCTCTTTTTCTAAGCAATGTCGAAGCAAAAATAGCCCAGAGAGCCAGGGTGCCTGGGAAGCCTCTGCACACCAGGAATGGAAGTTGTGCAGGACCCAGCTCTCAAAGGCAGGACCCTTCCCCACACACTCTTTGCTGCCTTGGCACTTCATCTCAACTTCCAACAGTTCTTCCCGTTGCCACCAGCCCCACCTTTCACCACAGCACAGTAGTGGACTCAAATCGAGACAATCCTCTCAATTTGCAAGACCACTGCAGAAGTCTCCCTGCTTTTCCAGAGCCTGTCACCACCCTCCTTGCCTAGGTTCCCTCATCTTCATACAACACCCAGATAAGCAATTCAACCCCTTCTGGCTTGAGAAGGGGTTTTCCTAGTCCCCTTGGTGCCAGCAGAGTCTCTTCTGATCTCAGAGTCCCTCTCCAGCTACCGAGTCTCCTCACAGGTAGTCTTCTCTGCTGCTGCTCAGAAGAGTTGCAAGCTCAGCTCTTACGTCCTCTCCAGCCTGTGCTCCCTAGAGCCAGGAGCAGCGGGACAAACAGAAGGTTTTCTTTAAGCACACAGGAAACATCTCCTCTCTGCTCCCCAGGGCTGTCCCAGCTCAGCCAGCATCCAGCTGTGATCCACCACTACGGGCTGCCTGCAGCTCTCCTGGCTGGACTTGGGGCCCAGGTGAGCAGGTTACATCAGACACATTTTGGAGAGTTTTTATATTTCCCATAGATAATCCTCTTTGTGGCAAACGAAGGGCTTTAAGCCAGAGCAATCTATGGAGCCTGGACGCACCATGGCATTAGATGTGGATGGACACCACAGAGACAGCAACAGGCCCAGCTCCTCTTAAAAAGGGACAAAAGTCCAGGACAAGCAGCAACCTCTGCTGCTTTCTGAAAAGCAGAGGCAGCAGACATACAAACCCCCAACACGCCAGAGCTGCTTGCCCTAGAGAGGCACAGAACATGGGGTTGTACTTACATGAGAGCTTCAATGGATTTTGGTTTGATGAAAATGGCAATGGGATAAAGTTGTGCTTGTTGCAACCTCTTGATAGCATTGCCAGAGACATCCAGGATGCAGTGTTTCCCCTGGAAAGGAGACAATCAGGATCAGACCTACCCACACAGTCTACTCTGTGCAGCAAGCAGCTTGCTCATACAGATGTGCTTACAAAAGAGAGGAGCCACAGAGATGAAACACCAATCCTGAGACATGAGCCAACTCCCAGTGGCCTTACGTTCCCACCTGCTTAGGGTAGGACAGCAGCAATGTAAAGGGACTGAACCTTTCTCTGAACACATGAAACAACGTACGAGCCACTGGTACACTCCAGTACTCCTGCTTCAAGGACAGCTGAGCACCTCTGCCCTGCCAGCTCCTGAGCAAAGGCTGCTGCTGCCAGTGCCGGGCTTTCGGGTGGAGTCTGGATGACAGAGGTATGACACCCAGGTGGAGTAACGTGGCTGAGAAAAGCAGCCACATGGCTTGGTAGGACTCCAGAGGGAGGAGAGGCTCATGCCACGCTTGCTTAATGTAGTTACAGCCCTTCGCTAACAACACAGGGAGAGGAGTGCAACTGCTGAGCATGTGTGGGTTCAGGCTGGATGGATCCCAGTCCC